CTTCCACCCAATAATAATAATAATAATAATAATAATAATAATAATGCAAGAGCAAGTAGAGCTCTTGGGAAGAATTTATTAAAAAACAAAAATGAAAACATCCAACCTGAAGATTTTTTATCCAGTCCAGAGCAGGATGGAGTGATGAGGAGCAGAAGTTTCTGTAAGCTGTTGCAGGTTTCCCGTAAGAGGTGGGGAAAGCAAGGAGAACTTTTCAGTTTCAGGTTTCGAAACCTCCACGGGAAACCTGTCCGTTCCTCAGAGTGATCCCCAACTTCACTGATGGAACAGCCACATACATTCCAGTTAAGGTAATCTCCCTCCTTAATAATTCATGACCTGCTTTAAAGGAGAAATTGAAGCTCAGAGGAAATCTGAAGGCTGCTACACACATTCTAATCAGCAGCATTGCTTAAGGCCTATCTCTAGTAAAAAATAGAAAAGAAAAAAAAAAAAAATCAGAGTAAGCATTTTTAGTGAGCTACATGGCCAAGTAAGAGCTCCTTCCAAGTGACAGAAATCACAGCTGGCTTATTTACACTCTTTATCTCTTTAAATCATATAATAAAGACATTATCCTGAAAAGAAGAGAAAGATCTTAAGATAAAAGGAGTGCTACATGACAAGTGTACTTTCATGGGCCAGGCAAACAGGTGCCTCGCAGAGAAGCTTGTTCTCAAGAAGTTGTCCCTCGGTGAGATGATAAGACAGCCCAAGTGGCATGCTCCTCAGAAAAAGCACGATGGGATGGCTGTAAAGTGCCAGAGCTTCATGGAGGTCCAGCAAACTACCTTACTACCACCCTGGGGGTTAACCAACTCTTTACAGTTCTCACACATCGTATTTTGCTGTAAAAAGAGTTTATTTAGCAATGCATAGTCTTGTGAGTCAGATGTTCAAAGCATGCACACGACATCACACGAAGAGCCATGATGCTGCCTGCAATCCTGCAGCATGTCATCTCGTTTGATTGCATGCATAACCATTTGTGGCCTGGCTAAGAGAAGCAAAGACATGGTCAATCTAAGTGCAAAGCTCCACAGGAGCGAGTGCTTCTGCTCTCTCTGAGCAGCACCATCTTACTTTAAGACGCACCCAGGGAAGCCCTGCCTGAGACAGCTACTAGGTAACCTGTACCAAACCAGAGGTTAAATCACAACTCAGATCCCCTTCAAAAACCAGCAAGTTTTATTTGCTTAAAAACATGGGGATTCTCCATTGCCATTGATTCTGCAAAGCCAATTCTGGATCTCAGCATCACTTCTACCCTCAGTGATGCTTGGCTTTGGGTTGCTCGGGCTAATGGCACATTGGATGAAGAAAGTATGTAGCTGATCAGCTTGTGATTTACCTTCTCTGCGTATCATCAAGGCATCCTTCTCTCTTCGAACACCCTTATCAGTGAATGCCTCTCCTTCCACGTTAAGCACGCACCTCTACTAACAAGGTTTTTTTCTTCTCAGCTGAGACACTCCTCTTTTGATTCTCTCACTACATCCACCTATTTTCTTTTTACACACCTTCTTGATTTTACAAGGAATTCTGTCTTTCAGCAAGGTTTTGTAATCCTTTATGAGCCTTGTCTGATTGAACGTCACACTCAGAGATGATTTAGGGGAAGGAGGCAAGCAGCTGACTGGGAAAAAAACAGTCTCATAGCTTCTGGGTATATCAGAAGCTGGTCTGAATATCCTGAAGATACAGACAAGGTCTAACATATTGCTGTGGCTCTGGAATCTATCTTCCAGCAATTGGAAAGATCCCAGATGACTGTACACTACTCATAAGGTCTCACATCATGGCCTGCATGCAGCCTACAACCACAGCAGCCAGCCTTTGAAGTTCATGGGAACTCCCCTGGTACTCTCACAGGAGGTTTTTCCTGTTAAGACCCATCTCCAGGAGTCACTGCCTGAAGACAAATGCTGCTCTTACAGATCTCCACAGCTTCCAGCCTCCAAAGACTTTGATCCTTTTCTTCCAGCTCACAATTCCAGTGCTGAAGTGCTGTCTGGTGCCACCTGCATGGCATGGGCTACTTTACACCAAAAGACTCAATGAACACCACAGAGTAGATGTGAGGCCCTGTCACATTCACAGCCATTTTGCTTTTCTTTCAGGAGGTACAGAATAATCTTGCAGTCAATTACTCCCACTTTAGGGAGTAATTGTGAACCGTCAGGTGTTTCAGACAGCATGAAAGATGCTCTTAAAATATTCTGAATGAGTGCTCCAGGCTGTTGCTAGCAAACACTTAACCCAAGGCATGGAAAAGATACACTCCTCTTTGCACTGAGGGACTCAGTGGGCTGCATCTGTGATGAGGCAATATCTTATCCTGCAAGGTGCTACAGCTGCAGCAGCAGTTTAGACTCAGGACAATGGATTGATGCAGCTGCAACCATATTTATTGGCACTGAAGAGTTCAAGTATGGCCTAAATCAGTCCAGTGATTCTCCTTTCATCTAGAGAAAAGTCAGTAAAGGAACAAATAACCCAGAGGCATCTGGGACCAGAAAGAAAAGCAGCAGAAATTGTGTAGCAATAGCTAAAAAAATAATACATAAGATTGCTCTTTACTCCAGATTTCAGTTGCTGAATACAACTAACACTGAGTTCCTTTCTCAGGGAAGGGAAAGGATGCACACAGAGCTTACACTGGTCATACAAGGAGCAAGTGTAGCAGAACAAATGCACTGTTCAGCAGAAGATGAACTTTTAGCTGGTTGGTTTAGTACCTACATTCAAAGAAAAAAGCTGAGAGGAGCCAACAGAGATTGTCAGTCAAGTTGTACTAACACTGTACAACCAGTTTGACCAGGACTGCAGTACAAACACTGACTACATTCAGTTATCTCTCCACTGAACTCCACTGCTCAAAGAGTCATAGAATAGAAGAGCCATAGAATTATAAAATCATAGAATCATAGCATGGTTGGAGGGGATCTCAGAGCCCACTCAGTCCCAACTCCCCTGCCATGGGCCGGTTGCCCCCACAAGCTCATGCTGCCCAGGGCCCCATTCAACTTGGCCCTGAATATCTCCAGGGATGGGACATCTATATCTTCTCTGGGAGGTCTGCTGCATCTGAACTGGACAGAAAATGTCCACTTTGAAGTGTTCCATACTGTCACTTCAAGGATAGTGCAGAAGTGCCACAAGCAGCTCCTGCTCATGCCCAAACGATGCCCTTCAGCTCCACGGACATGTCTGCAGATAATCTGCCTCACCATCAGAAATCTCTGACTCCCATTCTGAGACACTATGAATAGCCGCATGTGCAATTAGCAGGTTTCAGGGCAATGTGCAGAACATCATAATCCACATAAGATCAATAGGATCATCTTCCCTGTCTGTAAAAGCAAAGGTCAGAGGGAGATCACAGAGGCAGGAGATACGACCCCTGGGATGAACAGAGGCACTCACCTGGGTCCCTTCTGCTCCCCAGGATGACCCTGACAGCCACAGGAAGCTGGAGATGCAGAGCAGCATCTCCTGGCAGGGTGACCTGCCCCACTGCATGGCAACACATGTTGCTATGATTAAAAATGCATGGTATCAACTGTGGCTGAGGTACCCGCAGCCATCTATTTAATAATTAATCCATGCTGGCTGTTTGAGGGCACTGCCCGCTTTCCAGCTGGACGCTGACCCACAGCTGAATTCACACAGCCCAGCAAGGAGTTTTCTCCTTTCTCAGCCTTGCAGCACCCCACCAGCAGCAGCTGGGATGCCTGCTGACCATTGCTACAGCCCCTGGTGCAGGCAGCCTGTGTGTATGCAGCACATCATCTGGCTCTGAGCTCACTGCTGGCCAGGGTGAGCAGTGTGGAAGGCAAGCAAACTGGCTCAAGTTAACTTTTCATATGTATGCAAAGCCAAGCTCAATCATCAGCTGATGAAGTGCACTGGGGTAGCAGCAGAACACTGATTCCCACAGGCTAGGTTGTTTCTGCTGGATCTCTCAGGTAGGCAGACCGTATCTCACTTAGCTACTGCAGATCCTAGGGTTAGGGAGATACATGGGGACAAACCATACGTGCTGCTGGAGCAGCTCATCAGCATGGGAGGGACCTGGGGAGATCCTCTTCTGGGACCTCAGTGCAACTGATGGGGGGAATGATCTTCACAGCTCAGGCAGGAGCAGAAGGGAAGCACCGAGGCAGCTCATCAGCAGTGTTTGCAGCTACCTACCTTTGAGGTGTATGCTGGAGCTTCTTCCTAACATGCTTGGCAAGGACATCAGGTACAGAGGTGGAGGGAGCAGGGCTGAGAACACCTCCAGGACACAGACGAAAGAGGATGGAGTTCAGCCCATGCTCTCTTTGGAGGCCATCAGAGACACACACCCTTTTACAGAAGGAAAACAAGAAGTGCCTTTTAAATATGGTAAGTATTTCAGAAATGCCTTTTTTCCTTCCAAAGACAGTTCTTTTCACAGCCTTGCAAGCAGCAGATGAGCAATCCAGCACACTCCTGGGTTGTACCAACCCGAAAGCCACGGCACTTTGCAGCCATGTCACCTCCAAGACCAAGAACTCCAAAAGCAGCTAATGTATGTGCAAAACTGGTTTTGACCAACAACCATCTCAGGGCCCCATTGATAACTGCACACTTTATTTTAGCTGGAACTCTCTATTTTAATGCTTCAACCACATCGCATTCACCCTCCCCTTTCTAAACATCTAGTCTTCCTGCTGTTCCTAATAAACCACTTTTCATCCAAATATCTCCATTCTTTCCTGGCAAAAATGCATAAACCTAGTGACTAACGAGCAATTAATGCATTAGAACGCTACAGTTGACTCTTCTCTACATCATAAACACTCACAACAAAAGCACACTACACACTCCCACTACAAATCTATGTTATTCTCTCTTTTACAGCTTCTTGTTTTTATTTTTTAGGTGAAAAATAGAAGTTCATCCTCATTTCTGACCTTGACATGCATGTCTTAATCAAGCTTCGCATGAGAGAAGTGACCCACAATCAGAAAGAACAGATGCTTATTCCCTGGCCAGAAGAAATTATCAGGAGAGACTTGAGCCTTTGATACCACAGATAAACTGTCAAGCACGAAAAGATACAAAAATGCCTATGGAAAGCATGGCTTTCCATGACAGGGGCCTTTTTTTTCCTCCAGAAAATGGCAAGGATTTACTGTTCACTTTTATTAATTCACACACGCTCCTGATGTTATGATTGAACATTTCTACACCGAGGGCTTTAACAGCTGCTTTCCTCCAGATGCTGATGGGATGCTCCAGCTGAACACAGGCCATTGGGATGGGGATATGCATAGCTTTATGATGGGTGGGACTTTTGGACTGGAAAGTGGAAAATAAGGTTCCCATGCTTGGTTAGAACTTGACTGGGCATGGAAAATCAACTGCAAACTTTCTAATACGCTTGTGTTTCACTACATGCTCTGTACTGTGAAGAGCAGCACGGCAGTGAATTGCAGTAATAACCAGAGTGGCCAGAGACATGTGCTTCATATCCTACAGCCAACTTAACTCCAAGAGATCTCTTGGCATTCCTGGTTTCCTTCCCAGCATTTCTACTCAAGCACCTTGGTGGAAAAGCTATTGTTGGAATAACAGCCTCTCCAAACCACTGGGATGCAGGGAAGGCACCTTCTTGCACTAAAGCATCTCCAAAGCCAAAGTCTGGTACCCAAAAGCCTGTTAAGCAGTCAGCATCTGGAGACTTGGCACAACCCTGTGGGTCAGATCCTGTGGAGATGAGACTCATTTTTCCATTCTCATCATTAACAGTATCTGGATGAGGTCCTCACAAGCACATCCTCCCACAGATCCTGCACATGACAGGGTAGGCCTGGGCAAAGAGCCTCCTTTTCACCATCACATCACAGTACGTTCAGGGTCCAGGCACAACCACGTGGATTCATCTTGTATAAATGTACTGGGAGCTGAATTTGTGGGAACTCCAGCTTCTACCATAGACCTGCACCAGGAGGAAGCATCACCAGGCTCTAACAGATGTTTTACTGACTAAAAATCACACAGAAGACTCGCACAGTCCTCTCTAAGGATTGCATCTACAGGGGAAAGTATGAGCAGTGAATGTTCCCCCTCATTAGTCTCCACCACAAAATCCCCCAGCACAGTTGAAAGAGATTTTCTCACTGTTGTGTTTCACATGAAATTCCTCAATCATTCTGAGCCCCTTTCTCCTATCCTTAAACATACCCCAAGCCAGATGACACCTTTTGGACCTTCCCATACTGCACATACCTGGGAAAGCCCTACCTGCTGCAACTGATTCTGGTCCTGTTCCTCCATGTTCATCTGAAAGTTTGAAGTAGATAATATTTTCCTTTCCAGCCTGAGGCAAAACCATGTTAGCACACAGAGCAGGGGTAACACCTATGACAGCCCCTTTCCTGCCTTGTTTTGAGAGCAGAGTAACCTATTGAGCAGAGTGACTGTTGAGCATTGAGCGACTTGGTGCCCATTTGCTGAGGGATGAGGTGATATTTCAGGTTGTGTCTGCAATTTATATGGCTGAAATAGAAAGAAAATTGGGCTGCACATCTCAGGTGCTCTGTTCCTGGATCCCAGGCTGGAAGTGTTCCTGACAATGTAGAAGAAACACAACAACAGAAATGTAACTATTCTGTTGATTACTGCATAGAATTGGAAAATCAAAACATGAAACTGTGGTTGCACTCCTTACCCTGGAAAAATGCACAGGATGTGTGTTTGCAGTGATAGATACAATAGCTCTGCAATACAGTGGTACAGCTTCACCAACAGCTCAAGAAACAACATCTCTGGTTATAACATTCAGCAGGCATTTTTCCCTTGCAACACGCTGCGCAGGATATAAGAATCCATGGGATCCATGTATGCAGCAAAGCAAGACTCACCTGGCAGCACTGCCCAGGCACTTGAAGAAGCTCAGTGGAATGGCAGAAGCGTTTGGGAACTCCTTCACTGACAACCTCAGAAAGGTGGGACCCTTGCCAGAGCTTCTTTCCTTCCTCTTGCCACATCTCAAAGGGCAACCCTTGTTTCTTTTCCCTTCACAGAATCCAGATGGTGCAACCAGGAATTTCTGGCTGGCAGGACTGTGTTTGGAAACGCACTCAAAGAAAGCCACGAGCCTGCTATAAAGTTTTCTTGAGCACAGCTGCAGCCATGTGATCCAGGTGCCAGCCATGGGCCTGACCTGCTGTGGCACTGCCTGTGGCTTGCTGCTGAACTCAGAGCCCAGCAAGGCTCTTGGGGCTTCTTTCCCCAAACCAAGTAGGAAGCAAAGGGCTCTGACCTAGACCTTGCCCAAGGGTTGCACATTTTGTATGCATACAATTCAGCACACAACAAACAGCTGATATTTAGGTGCACCACAGCTCAGGAAGCAGGGTGATATACCAACTTCAACACCTTCAGTCAACATGAAGAGATTGCTGTGTCTGGGCTGGGGACGTAGGGGCAAGAAGCAACCAGTCCATACTCAGAAAAGATGACCAGCAGAACAGGGAGAAGCAGAAAGAAATTGCCAGGTGGGATTTGATAATTATGGTAAAACTAATTCCATGGCACTCTCAACCAGCCAATCTGTCCCCAGTATCACAGCAAAATGTGATGTTTAATCTCACCTGAGGCAATGAGAAAAGCTAGCTTTCTCATCCTAGAAATTGCCTAGAACTCACTCAAGACTGGAGCAATGACTCAACAAGCCAGAGAGGGGTCAGGGAGCAGAGGGAGGCAGGAAGACGTGTCTGTACCACCCGGGGCAGGCAGGCAAGCTGGGAAAACTTGCAAGGAGAGCAACCTGTGCCAACCTGAGAATAAGTGTGCATCTCCAGCTTACACACTGCAGTTGTGCCAAGGGCCTTGCTTGCCATGGCATGCCAACTCACTGCTGGCCCTGAGGGAAGATGAGCTCCAAAGCTCAGGGTGGGCATGAGATGCACCTCTTGCACAAACTGGAGTTTCATTCAGAAGAGATTGTTCACCTGCACAAGGAGTCTTATTATACATTGCCTCAACACTGCCCTGTGCACAGCTAGCATAGCTTGTGCTGTCCATGTGCCAGGGTCAGGAGCACTTTGCAGAGGTGGCAGGATGCCCTCCCGCTTTCTTGCCACAGATTCATTCTTTTGGTTCCAAATAGAAATTTCCCATAATATTTTGATGCTTAATCAAAGAGTTGTTCATCTCCAAGCTGTACAGACAGCAAAATGTGATTCCAGCAGCTTGCAACTTCCTATTAAACCCAATGATCCTTAGAAGAGAATAGGAAGGAGGGGATGAGGAGAAACTCTGTCTTGCTGCATCATTAGACTTTTTTTTCTGGGAGGGTGTGATGGCTGGTTGAGAGATGGGGCAGGTTTCCTAGAGCATTCCTCATCCTTCCCTCCAACCTGATAAGAACAGCAGTTTGGCTGCAGACTTCATATACACAGGTGCCCAAAACCAACTCATAAACTGCTGACATAGCTACCCTCCCTAGCTCATTCAGACTGCTGTGCATTGCTCTACAGCACCTTTCTACTGGGGATCCACAGGCATGTTTGAATACGTGGCAATTTGCAGACACCCATAGCCTGGCACTGCAAGGTTATTGAGTCTGCTGCAGGGAATTCAGCTTTCCACTGCAGATATTCAGGGGACCATGCAAATCTAAAGACTATGGAGAAAACTAAATTGGGTTATAAGTTCTGCTGTAAGGATTCAATGGAAGGAAAGACTGTTCCAGCCTGTATTCCTCTCATTCATCCAGTGGGAAATGTGACCTCTGAAAGGAAAGCATGAACGTGCAATTGCTTCTATAGAAAAAAGTAGAAAGAAAAAAAAACCCAAACAGAACCATGTATTACCATGAGTGATCACTCCAAAATGTGGGTGTTCAGCACCTGGCAGCCTATTTTCTAAGGACACACAGCAGTACAAGGCAGGACTGGCTCCAGAGACAGTTGAAAAGAAGTGTCAGGACCAGGCTGCGCTGAAAAAGGAAAAGAGAGAAAGGAGAAAATGATGAGGAAGAATGGCAGGGCGTCTAACACTTTGCATCTAATGCCTCCACATGGCTGCAAGTGCCGTGGCAATTTGGCCCTGATAACACGGATGAAGAGACGTTGCTAACATATTGCTTCCTTGTCAAATGTCTCACTGGTTTTGCAGCCAAGTCTCCTGCCAGCAAGGCCACAGCAGCGCCTCTCCGTTACTTTCATATGCAAAGAGGTTTTTAACTCAATTGCCAATAAAATTCTAGTGGGTGGAGAGGAGGACATCTGCCTGTCTAGTCCTGTGCTTGCCAACATGGTTCTTTTATTCCTTCAGAAGCTGCGAGCTCCTACTCGAGCTGGTATTTTGACAAGCATTTCTGTTTTCTTGACACAATGGGCAAAGTGGGCACAGATCTTGTATGCCACTTGTAATATGTCTTCTGTGCCATGATTTGCATCCTTTCTGGAGGATGCCTGGCACCGCGCTGCACAAAGCAGAACGAGCAGCTTGGACAGTGGGCTTAGTCTGACATGTAAATGTACTGCTTAATTATGTGCAATTGCGTTAGGAGAAATGTGAAGAGGACGCTTTGCAGGCTGTGATGGCTACAGGGCTCTGATGAGTTTTGCTTTGCAGGGGATGGGGGTAATGGAAGAGAAGGGGGAAGAAAAAAAAAAAAGGATGGAATGATATCAAAGCAAGTAAGTTTTCATCAAAACTGCACAAAATGGTGACAGCCATTTGTGTTAACTACCCAGTGATATTCTTGGCTGCAGGAGACCCGAGGGTCCCAACTGATAGAAGCTCCAGCCCCTCAAAGACACTTCCCCAGAGTACAGGGGACTTACAGGGCATCTGTGCTTTTGGCACAGTCTCAAAGCCAGTTTTCAGATCCATCAGTAAAACTCCAGTTTAAAATGAAAGCAATCAAATAATCCCCAGTGGCAACCTGGTCACCAGGAGTGGGATAGGTGATCTTCATCCCCTGGGGCTCCACGTCATCTCTTCCAGCCCTGAATTTTGGTTCATGTCTGCCTTCTTTCCTGAGGATGAGCTGCTACCTTTGTAAACACATAATGTGTTTACACGTAAAATAAGAGGTCAAAAAGCCAGAGGGACTACTCCAGAAAAGGTTTAGACACATCAGACTGTGCTGATGATCAGAGCCAGAATCTCTCAGGTATCACACAAGGCACAATCAGCTCTCCTCTATCCTCATGTTCCCCAGGCGCTCTCCACATGCCAACCATGCTGCCAAGCCTCATAAATTCCCCTCTCTGAGCACTGCTCAACAGAAGGATGCTGAAACGTGGTCCAAACTACATAATCCTGCAGCTGCCCAAGGGCACAGCAGCCAGCACTGCTCAGCCTTCACCCCAAATACAGACTCCCTCTCCTTTCCAGGATAATCATAGAATTAAAGGACAGCTAATTTCATGCCTTATAAACCAGCTTCACTTCAGCACAAGAAATAAAAAAAAACTCTCTTATCTCTCCAGGGAATGTCTTGAGACTCAAGCTGTACTGTTATCTGGGTTAGTTTGACATCTGAGAGGAGAAGATTACAATCTGAAGTCTGGAATGGAATGGGAGTTAGTCAATGTAATTTCCTATGTTCATAAATAAATGACCAAGAAGAGATACATGTCACTCTGCTTTTACTTACTGAGCTGAAGGTTCATCTCTAAAGCAAAAGACCAGGAATTTATTGTCTTAATAAATACCTTGAGGCTCTTAATAAGGTACCTTGACCATCTTACCCTTCCATAATTTGATTATCCAGTCTTTCCAGTTCTTAATTGATAATTAATTTGAATAACGTGCAAAGAATTGAATGATGGAAAAGAGAAAGAGAAACAGATGGTTGGTCTATGCAGTTAGAAAACATTTAATGGGGGAGAAAGGCTTTGCATTTTGAGCATAACAATGTACTTTGTTCATCCCCAAGAAGGAAAAATGGCATATGCTGCATCTCATGTCTTCAAACTTCTGCAGTGGCAAAAGAAAGGGCAGAAGACTTATTGAGGCTGTGCCACGTGAAGGTGGATAGTAAACATAAAAGGGTTAGAAAGCCAGCAGATGCAAAGCCTAGCAGAGACCTCACTGGAAAAAAAAAAAAAGTGATCCAGGACACAGAAGTTGTTGGAAATCACACTGTTGTGGACAACCTTAAAGTGAAGATCTTCTTCAACAAACAGGGATGCAAAGCCACAACATCAAGAGTTCCTTGGAAGGCATCTGTATATCTTACATTCTGAGATGAATTCATTGCCTTTGACTACATCACAGAGAAGATCCAACTTCAGGAAATAGAAAAAAGAAACACACTGAAACTATATAGCTTTTTCCAAATTCCCCTAATGAATTGTTCTTAAATAATCTTAATCTTCTTAAAAGCTCACTGGTTGTCTCAGCATAGCATTGCCATTGTAATGCTATAATGTGATGGAAAACACAGCAGTGACAGCAGGGTAGCAGAATCCCAGGCTGCAGCAAGCGAGGATAAATGCAAGTGCAGCAGCCATGAAAGCAGGAGGAAAAAAAAAAAAAAAAAAAAAAAAAGAGCTGCTTACCTTCAAAAGGCCTCAGACAAGCAGGAACCTCCAGCAAGAGATGCCACCACCTCCCCTGCCAACCTTTAAATGAGATCTGGGAAGGGGTGGATCGTGGCTCCAGCCCTTCCAATCACTCAGGTGCATTGCATGCAGCTGAGCTCCCGTGAGTTGGCCCTGCCTTCCCACCAGGTGCTCCATCACTGCTTCAAGCTGTGACTTAGCATTTCCACTACAGTCATCTTCAACATTTCCGTCAACTAATAGATCTCTGGGTAGAGACTGGATACCAGAGTGCCTGAAGAAGGCATTTGCTCGGGAGTTTTTTCCACTTCAAACCATCAGGAAACGCAGCAGGCTACTGCTTGCGAACATTATGCTGATGTTCCTCCTTCTACAGGGCATTTCAGGACTGAGACTGACCATGTATTTTTCAAGCCATGGCCTCTCATTGCAGGGCTCTTCCTTTTGGTGTTTCTAGCCATCATGTGGCTAAGTCTCCTACAACAATGAGTTCTAAGTGAGCATTTTTCCTGGAATTGACACCCACATTTTTTGTAAAGGAAGGTACTCAAATGTATTTGTTTTTCTTCCAAGAACAGTCTATACTTACAGAGACAGGATAGAATAATAACTGAAGGTAATTCTGGCTGTGACTCCAGGAGGGTAAGAGGAACAAATAAACAATATCTTTGCACCTGTGCACCCACGGATTTGAAAGACTTTACATGGAGCAGACCAAAGCACTTACATCACTTGAAAAATTAATCACTCTTAAAAAAACAGCTGTTTCTGTTCCTTGGTTGGTGCCACGTTGGTTCCAGACCTGAAAGAAATCACCGTAACACATAGATTTTTCAGTGCTGAAATCAACAGGAGCACATATAACTCTTGAAGATGCTGTTTGCTGTTTCCCACTTACCCCCACCTTTGCTGAGGCACTCGTAAAGCAGTGGGCATTGATAATAACGGGGATCACAGCTCTCTCTGCTCAGCACAAACTGAGTGCTGTGTCTAGCAAGATGATGAATAATAACAACCACAACTGCAGCTGTGATATGACTACTCCTTGCAGTCTTCTTCCAGTGTTCCTAAGGAGACAGAGTGCCCAAGGTCAAACAACAAACATGATGCATTTTGATAGGGCCTACAAAAATGATTCCTTTCATTTCTTCCAGTTTTACAACCTCTGTGATGGAGTAAGGAACCAAAAAACGTGATTAAAGAGTATTCCAGAATATATAAGATGCAAATGGATTGCAACAGTTTTTAAGCCAGTTAAATTTGCAGCCCAAACTACTTGGCAGAATCTCTCTAATAGTTATTCTTTTATTCATAGCTGTAATAAATAATAACAAAGCTAAACATTTCCATGGCCCCCACACCTCCTGCATCTCCCTAGCTGCAGATCTCAAATATGAATAATAATTACAGCTTATCAAATCGGCCCATGATTAGAGACAACAGAAAGACATTTCATATTGTTAACTTCCTTGCACAAGAGGGAAAAAAAAATCAGGTCATAGGGGTATTAAAAATTTATATCATAGCATTTGACTTGACTCATCTCTTAAAAAGAAAAAACCGAGCATGTATTATGTATTTAGGCAATTCCTTTTAAACCCTTACTAGAATGAGCACGAGATAGGCCCATCACTCGGTAGATGGATGGCTCTGTCTAGATGTACATATTTTATACTCACATGCGTGCATACGCTTAACGTGCACTCACACCTATCTATAAGACCATATCCGTAGAGAGAAAGGTGTAAATCTATTTATATCTCTTTGTTCAAGACAGATACAGAGCTGATGTTAACAAAATCTCTGCACAGATAGCATCTCACTTGAAGCCGGCAGCCTCAGAAGGGGCACTATTTTGCCAATTTTTGTAGCATTGCAGCAGCCCCAGCAGAGCTTGGTTCATAACAGCCTTGTTCCTGTTTATATTTGGTGGCTGGTTTATTGAATCACAGAATCATAGAATGGCCTGGGTTGCAAAGGACCACAGTGCTCATCTGGTTCCAACCCCCTGCTATGTGCCAACCAGCAGACCAGGCTGCCCAGAGCCACATCCAGCCTGGCCCTGAATGCCTGCAGGGATGGGGCATCCACAGCCTCCTTGGGCAACCTGTTCCAGGTTTTTTTGGTTTTGTTTTGTTCTCTTCAGTGATTTTTCCAGATCCCTTAGTCAAATAAACTCTTTGAGGAAAAAGAAAGTCCTTCATTCCTGCGCTGATGGCTGAAGTAACTGGAATACATCAAACCAGAAGAGAAGCTAAACTTTCAACTCAGGAGATCAGCAGAGGAAATCAGCTGCTGCTTGAGAGGTTTTTCAGGACCCACTTTGTGCCCACTCAATCACTCGCACTGCTGGGGCTGCGAATTTACAGCAGGAGTTCTTCCTGCAGAGGCACTCAATGAAGGGCCATTTGCTGCATGCAGCC